ATAGCCCATAGGATCTGAGAAAGGGCCTCATAAAACAGCTAACAAGATAATGGGGCCTCAGTCCTCCAAATACAAAGAAATAAATCCTGCCAAAACCTGAATGTGGACAAGAAACTTGAGCTGTCATTGAGGACACAGCCTGGGTGACCACTTGATTTCAGCCTTGTGAGACACTGAGCAGAGAACCTGGGCACACTATAGCTAGACTTCTAATCTACAGAAAGGAATGATAATAATAAGAAGAAAGAAAATTTGGATGCCATCTAAATTTAAAAAATCTACTTATCAAATGACCCCATGAAAAAAATGAAAAGGAAAGACATTGCTTATTAAAAAAAAGAAAAAATATATATAAATATAAAATACATCTCTCTCATATATATGTAACAGACATATATCTGACAAATAATTTAATTTCTTCAACAAATAAAAAATATACACAATGGGCAGGAGACTTGAAGATACTTCCCATAAAAGGATATTTACTAATTGCCAATAAGGACGATAATGAAAACAGCAGCATTGAACCCAGTCAGAGAAACCTCAGCATCTACACGAAGAGCTCTACTCCACTGTCCTTGATCACACTTGTCCAGGCACAGAGTCATTGTTGCTGTCACTGAGAGGTCAACACGCTGCATACAATGTTTCTCAGGGCCCTCTTCATGTCCCTTTTCCTCAGGCTGTAGATGAAGGGGTTCATCGTGGGACAGATCACAGTGTATAGGACAGAGGTAAACACTGCTGTCCAAGAGGTATGTGTCCCTGTGAAACTGAGGTAGACTCCCAGGCAGGTTCCATAGAACAAGGAGACAACCGAGAGGTGAGACCCACAGGTGGAAAACACTTTATATTTTCCTCCTGCTGCTGAGATCCTCAGGACAGAAGCCACTATTTGAGAATAAGAGAAGAGGATCCCAGCAAGAGGGAAAAAGCCCATAACACCTGTCACAATATATAATACAATGGTATTGATGAAGGTATCAGAGCAGGCGAGCTTGAGAACCTCAGGGAGTTCACAGAAATAGTGTGGGATTTCAGTGACTGCACAGAAGGAAACCCGCATCATGGTCAAACTCTCAGGAAGGGCCCCCAGCACACTGAAGAGCCAGGTCAGGAGAAGTAACTGGGCACAGAGCCTGGGGTTCATGATGCCGGTGTAATGTAGAGGGTTACAGATGGCCATAAACCTGTCATAGGCCATCACTGTCAGAAGTAAATTGTCCAAAAGTCCAAAAACAGTGAAAAAGTACATTTGGGTGATGCAGCCTGAGTAGGTAATGACTTTTCTCTGTGTCTGGATGTTCAGCAGCATCTTTGGGACGGTGGTGGAGGTGAAGCAGATGACTGAGAAGGACAGGTTGGAGAGGAAGAAATACATGGGTGTGTGGAGGTGGGAGTCAGAGCTGATGGCCAGGATGATGAGCAGGTTCCCAAAGACAGTCACCAGGTACATGGACAGGAACAGTCCATAGAGAACAGACTGAATCTCTGGCTTCTCAGAAAGTCCCAGGAGGAGAAATACTGGAAGTCCCGTGTGGTTTTCTGCTTCCATGTCTCTAAAGGAAATGTCTGCAAGAGAGAGGCAGAAGCAAGAATAATCATTCACCACCAGGCATCTCAGAAATGTGGTCACCTTTAGCTCAAACCCAATGTATTGATGAGATGATGCGTTTGCTTAGTGGTCTCTTCTCTTCTGTCTGTCAATTTGGGGTTTCCAAATTGTGCCATATTCTCCTGGGTTGCCTCCACTAGAGGGAAACCTACACCCCAAACCTAATTTAGCTCCCAAAGCTGGTTTTATCTGTTCAACTCCCCTGACACCTGGTCAGCCAGCCATTGTCATCTCAGACATCTTTTGAATTACTTCTGTAATTTACTTTTTTAAAGAGAATGTAATTCTGCCATTCATGGGAACATGGATGAGCTTAGAGAAAATTATGTTAATTGAAATAAGCCTGGCAAAGAAAGGGAAATACTGTATGTCCCTTCTCATAAGTGGGAGGTAGAAAAGAAAGAAAGAAAAAGAAAGAAAGAAAGAAAGAGAAGAGAAGAAGGAAGGAAGGAAGGAAGGAAGGAAGGAAGGAAGGAAGGAAGGAAGGAAGGAAGGAAGGAAGGAAGGAAGGAAGGAAGAAAGAAAGATAGAAAAGAAAGAAAGATGATAGTACAACGAACTTTCAGAAGGTACTGGAAGTCCTGTGTGGTTTTCTGCTTCCTTGTATATAATGGAAATGTCTGCAAGAGAGAGGCAGAAGCAAGAATAATCATTCACCAGGCATCTCAGAAATGTGGTCACCTTTAGCTCGAACCAATGTATTGATGAGATGATGCATTTGCTTAGTGGTCTCTTCTCTTCTATCTGTCAATTTGGGGTTTCCAAATTGTGCCATCTTCTGGGTTTCCTCCACTAGATGGAAACCTAGACCCCAAACCTAATTTAGTTCCCAAAGCTGGTTTCATCTGTTCAACTCCCCTGTCACCTGGTCAGCCAGCTGTTGTCATCTCAGACATCTTTTGAATTACTTCTGTAATTTACTTTTTTAAAGAGAATGTAATTCTGCCATTCATGGGAACATGGATGAGCTTAGAGAAAATTATGTTAATTGAAATAAGCCTGGCAAAGAAAGGGAAATACTGTATGTCCCTTCTCATAAGTGGGAGGTAGAAAAGAAAGAAAGAAAAAGAAAGAAAGAAAGAAAGAGAAGAGAAGAAGGAAGGAAGGAAGGAAGGAAGGAAGGAAGGAAGGAAGGAAGGAAGGAAGAAAGAAAGATAGAAAAGAAAGAAAGATGATAGTACAACGAACTTTCAGAAGGAAAGAGCAGACCTATAGCTACTAGAGGTGAGAGGGGGGAGGGGGAGAGGGCTTAGGGAGTAACTGGGTAAGGGATGCAAGGAGAAATTAAGACTTGTAATGAACATGCTATTAATATTGATTTGATCATCATATACTGTAAACCAACACTGATAGTCAACCCTGTACCCCATAGTATAAACAATTATGTTTCCCTTAAAAATGCTTTTATAATAATAATAATAATTTTAATAATAATTGCAAAAATCATGGGTCCATGTTTAATCTCCATAAGTGATGAGAATGCCGTGATATTTTCTACACACTTGATAAATTTTTAATTAAAAAGAATGACAGGCCAATCGTTGAAGAAAAAAATTGCATCATCAACAAAATTTATCTCCCATGAAAGGAAAAATGTTAAATTATTGATTTTGAAATCTCGCCTATTTGTAATATACACTTTTTTGCAAAAAATGTATTTCTTTTCATAATTCATTTTCATAATTGTATATAATATAATAATTATATAATTGATAACATATATATTTTATAGTCTTTAAATATATTTGCAAAAATTATTTGGAGCAAGACGAAAACAAATATCCCAATGAGTGTTCTGAATTTATTATAACCCTGATCCCAATAGACAGCAGCCTGCTACCTAGCAGCAGCATTAAAAAAACCCACTCGTTACTTTCATTAATTAGCTAAATGGAAAAAACTCCAAGTACCTGTAAAGTATATTTATCAATTTGTCAAGCATATTAAAGATAAGACCAGGTAGCATTCAACCCAATAAAGCAATGAACATTTCATATTGGTAATTTCTTTATTATGGTACAGCAAATGAGTAGAAAACTCCTCTCTATATAATTGGATAATTTTAATGATGCAGAAGATACTGCATGGAAATAGCTCTGTGAAAATGTAAATAGAAGAGTACTTAAGTGTAATAAAAATAGCTTCATTGATTATCAGCTAATAACAGCTTTGACACCAAATTGTTTGACAAATCTCCATGAAACTTACACAGAAAACAAACGTACCTGCCCTGCCTGCCTCTACCAAATACTGTTCTGAAATTTCAAAGCAATGTTACTAAAGAAGAAGCAATCAGAGCTTCCCACCTTGGGTAAGAGCATATTGATCACATTTGATAAAATTGATACAATTTTACATACATATTGTATATTTCATATTTACATTGATAAAATTGCCAATCTAAAGTCAGTTCGAGGGCCGGCCCGTGGCGCACTCTGGAGAGTGTGGAGCTGGGAGCACAGCGACGCTACCACCATGGGTTCAGATCCTATATAGGAATGGCCAGTGCACTCACTGGCTGAGCGTGGTGCAGGCGACACCAAGCCAAGGGTTGCGATCCCCTTCCTGGTCACGAAAAAGACAAAAAAAAAAAAGGCAGTTCGAAAGCGATCACACTAAAACGTCATCTCGGTGAGGCTAAGGAGAAAATAATCAAACGTTGTTTTCTTTCCTATTTCCAGGACTAAACAAATGTGTCATATAGGAAAAAATCCTGTTCAAAATGTTACAAAAATGTAACATAAATGGACAAGGATCTGGCTTATTAAAGGTGATCAGGAGATGATATGAACAGGAAATCACATTTATTAACAATTACAGATGCAGAAACTGTGCCTGTCTTTTCTGCTGAATGGCTTCATTTTGTCTCCCTAGAAACACATGGGATGAGAGTGCACATCCACACACATTGCAGAGACAACTCAAGGAGGCCGTGGATGCCTGTTGCATGAGGAGCCAGGTCCCTCTGATGTGCAAGGGCCAGACAGTGAGCAGGAGACTCGGGCACTGGCTAAGACGCTAGAGAAAGCCCAACCCCACCTGGGAGAGAAGTAGGAAAGAAACAGCTCCTGATGAGGAATGAGGGGGCTGGAGGAATGATGTCAGAATGAACAGAGGACAAGAGAAATGAGGAGAGAGAAGAGGCTGCAGTTAAATCTGAGGCTTCCTTCTTGGTTGTACACAAACATTTTTGAAATATTTTTTGGATCAATAGACTTTTTTGCATTTCCTGTCCCACGCTGTGCCTCTAGGGGAACGGCCTCTCTGTCTTCTAATTTCATTTCCCGCGAACTTACTGTGCTCTTATTGCTCACTCAGGTGTGGTCATCTACAGGATGTGTCTTGTGATTCTTCTCTTCATGGGAAGATGAACAGTGGGGGTGACAGCTGTGTCCTCCATATCAGGGAGATGGTGTCAGGCATGGATTGCTGGACCACGGTGATGTTTGAGAAGCAAGAGAGAGTCTCCTTTTCTCGTATTGGTGAACTGACAGTGAGGGCAAGAGGTGTAATGTCTATTAAGTTATAGAACCTGAATTCTCATAGCTTCTCATTAAAATAGAATTTCCTAACTCTATGCAATATAACTGCTAGGAATCTGGGGACCATAAATGAACAGAAGCATTTCATTCAATTTTGTCCTCTTGTGCATGTCGCTGATGTCAGAAGAATGTGTCCCGTCCCACTGGGACCATTAAAAACCTCTTTATTATGGAAAATCCAAACATATATAAAAGTATTGAGAAGTCTGCTGATGTCTTTTCTATGGGTTCAACAATTACAGATTATGACCCATCTTGCTTCATCTACACCTTGGGCAGTTTCTCTCCTCCCTACAAATGGATAATTTTTAAACAAATCTCTGAAATCATATAATTTTATCCATAAATATTTCAACAAATTTAGAGCTTGCATTTTTCAAAGGATGCCTCTTTTGAAAAGCATGACCACATTACCACCAGCACAGCTGCCAAATTAAACAATCCTGTACTACCATGAATACCTCAAGTCTATGAGGCACCTTAAAAGACAATAGCCTGTCGGCAGTATCTCTCCCACTATGAATCGTAGCTTCTGAGTTTAAGTAAGTCAGTAATATTTTAAAGTTCATTGGAAATTTCTGCGCACAGATGTTCAATGGATAGCAGCTGTTATTGACTATGTCTCATTTCCACACTTACTAACCTCATTGTGACACCAGAAAGGTTTCTTGGCAGACGAAGTGAGTTAGCATGCCCAGTTCCTGGGAGACAGTGTGCTGTGATCATGAAGTGGGACCTCCTCCTAGAGCAATCACAGAGGGGAGAGTGCTTAAAAGCCAAACAATAAGACCTTTGTGCATGTATACCACATTATCTTTAACCTTTAGTCTGTCAGTAGACACCTAGGTCAGTCCATATCTTTGCTGTAGTGAATAGTACGGCAATAAACATGGGGGTGCAGATGTTTTTTCATATGATGACTTCCTTCCCACCACCCCCGAATCCCTCTTTTTTCTTTTACAGTTTTTAATTGTTTATATTTTTATTTTTATTTTTATTTTGTCAATATACAATGAAGTTAGTTATTGTGTCCCATCACCAAAACC